TCTCTTATTTGTTTCCTAAGGTAACTTGATCAAATTAAGATATACGAATTTTTAACATTTTCTTTTATAATTCGAGAATGGATGGAGATATCGAGATGCGGTTTTCACTAATATTTAGCAAATTTTATGGTGATTAACGATCTGTGAAGTAAATAGTACCGTTCCATTTAACTTTTTTTCAAAAATCACAAAAATATGTAACCACTGCAGTTAACGCCCTCTAGCTTATTTGTTTTAAACCAAGCGGTCTTTCTGAAAATATCTCTTAAAAGAGCATGAAATGCTCTTTCAAACAAGATCAAAAATATTTAAATCGGTTGAATGGTCCAGGAGATATTAAAATGTAAACATTTGAAAACGCATTGGCCTCCCCTTCCCTAATTATGACAGATATGAAAAATATTGCAAAACAAAAGCGATGAGGTATTATCCAAGCTACTAAATGATGTTGTCAAAGTTATAGCTCATCGTCTAACTTTCTGAGATAGGGGGAATTTTATGTTTCTCTGTGGCAGTTACGCCCCCTAGCGGTCGAATTACGAACTTCAAAATAATTTCCAGCTATTTCTCTTGCCCACTTTGCTTATAAGGATTTTTTTCCCAAACCTCTAGGCCTTACCGTTATTGAGATACAGCCGCTCCGTACGCTTAACGGGACATCCTGTATACACTATTGCAATCATTGCAGTTGATCTTATAAACACCATTATCATGAGAAGTTTCTTTATTGTCATTAAGATGGTGATTGGATGGCAAATTAACTATGGAATTCCTATTACTATATGCTAAAGTCACATTATATTTAGAAAATAAACTTTGGGCCTTTTGAGTCAAACTATAAGAAACATGTTTATATAAATTGTCTTTTTTAAATTTTGTATATAGATGATCCTTTGTTTGTTGTATCTAGGCTAAAAACTTATTAAGTGTTTTGTATGTGTATTTATTTTGTTTACCTAGATTAAAAATATAGTTAAATTCTTTGATTCTATTTTCATGTGATAAAGGGTAATCTAGTACTCTATTAAAAAAGAAACGAAAACTTGCCATTTTTTGGGAAAATGGGTGTGCTGAATCAAAGGGAATAACAGTTGAAATTGTGGTTTGTTTTCTATAAATGTCATAGGTTATTGTATCATTTACATTGATCAGTTTCAGATCTAGAAAAATAATTTCCTTATTATTCTCGAGCTCCAGAGTAAATTTTAATTTATCTTGTATGTTGTTGATATATGTATGAAGCCTATTTAAATCAGTATTATTACCTTCCCATACTATAAAAATGTCATCAACATAACGAACCCATTTCGTGATATTATTTACGAAAGGATTAAGGTTTGAAAAAAGTTGTTTTCAACATAATCCAGATATATGTCAGCTGGATACCTGACAAAGGCATTCCCATCGGCAGTCCATCTTTGATCTTATAGACGTTATTGTTGAATTTACAAAAATTCATAGTGACTATATGTTTCAGAATAGTGTCTAGTTGAGTTGTTAAATGTTTATCTTTGAAATGTTCTTTGAATATTTTACTGGTCAAATTCAGGGTGATGTCTATGGGTACATTTGAATATAGGTTTGTCACGTCAAATGACAGCATGATTTTATTCTTTAGATCAAGGTGCTTTGTATTTTGGATAAATTCTTTCGAATTAGAAACGGTATATTTAGGTTGGAAGTTTATTTTTTGAAACACACCAAGCATGAATTTGGCTAACTTCGAAAAATTTGTATTAACTACGCAAACACATTGTGGTATCGTTGAAGGTTGTTAGGTTTTAAAATGAAAGAGTTTCTTACAAAAGAGTAATCAATTTAAAGTATTACAGCAATAATGCTTACTACGATAATATGNACATTGATCTTCTTAATGAACAAGTCGAAATTTTCTACACCCCTCTTTACAAATATATACCTAAAAAATGTTTTAATAGCTAATTTTTTATTTTTATTAAGAAATTTTTTACAGATTTTCATTTTGTTTTCTCTCTTAAATGTTTGATTTTCTTCTTTTTCTTGTAACTTCGATAAATTTACTTTAGTCGCATGACCGGTATTTGTCGAATTTTCTGTTAAGTAAGTTTTAGATTTCATTTTGTCTCATGACAAATTGTAACGTGTTAATTATAAGATTTTGCTTCGATAGTTTCTTAGTGATGTTTTGTTAGTTGAAAGTTTATTTTCAACAGGTGTGTTGGTCTATGAGGATTTACATTTTTTAAGGACTTGACGTGAGTTAAAAGTAAATTTGTTTAATTACGATGATGTTAATTTTGGTTTGTTTTTTCATTTAATTAAGGTTTTGACTGATGATGAAGTAATACTTCGAAACCGGTTTCAATAAATATTTAAACAGCAAGTTCAAGAAGTATTTTAATTATTTCTAATTAATCACCATTTTAAATTTATCCAAGAGCTTGCAACATGGATTCAAATAAGCATTGTAATTAAAGTTCATTTCTTCTAAAAAACTTTTAAATTTCCTGTGGTTCAATTCTCGTGCTCGAATATAATTCACTATACTTATTACGGCCTTCATCACGGCGTCTATTTCGGCAATGGAGATACGTGCTGCTAAGTTCTCTTGGTGAATAATACAGTGTAAGGATACGAAAATTGTTAAATTGTATTTCTTTTTCAATAGGTAAACAAATCCTTTTTCGAATCCTATCATTGAAGGGCATTCATCCGTGCACAAGCAAACCAATTTTTTTTATATCAATATTATTGTTCTCCAGAAAAGTAAGGTAAGCTGGGGCAACTGGGCCCAGGGGGTAAGTGGGCCATGAGTCTGTCAATGTCTAACCTGCTGCCACGGAATATTCAAACAGTTGGCAACGTTGTGTCAACCTGTCGACTTGCCGGTACAACGAATATAACCTNTAGTAAAACATAAGATGCGATTTAAAGTGTATTTTATTTTGTATAAACTAAGTAATAAATTAATAAATAAACTAAACTAACAAATAAAACAATAACTATTCGATCAGTAATACTGTATCAGTACAATAAGTTATTCTAAGGTAAACTATAATCACTTACATCACTTTGCTCATTTGTAAACATATATGCACATTTGTGCATTTATTTCAGTAGCTTTTTCAACCTGTACGGTTTTTTTTCGTAAGTCATTAAATAATATCCAATTGGCATTGTTGGGCATAAATGCCGGGTAGTGTCCTATCACTCAATTTTGTTTTATTGTTCTCTCCATTCGTTGTTTCTATAAACAGACCACATTTTTTGCAATTGTTGCTTAGAGTTTGCATGTAGTTTTCTATTACTTGCTTTTGCTGTGCATAGCCAAATATTGTTACGATGTCAATGTCGATTGGTAAAATTATGTTTTTATGGAAAGTAACGTTTAAACAATTATTGCAGTTTTTAGTCCTACAATAACTAAATACTACTTTAAATAGTTCTGTGCAAAGAAACGCAATATTTGAAATAGCATTCACTATTATCACGTCAGCAATATTCTGGTTTCCAAAATAATTTATTCCTGTTAATAGTTCAGCTCTTTTTTTATATGTTGCTTTACTAGAACCGGCTTTTAAAAATAATTTTAGGAAACTAAAGCAATCTGTGCAAACATTCTCAACATGATTTCTAAATGAATTGTGTGTACGGGTAAATGCTAAACTATGAAATATACTGTCGAATCCGCAAGTATTTTGAACAATATATTTTTTATTGAAATAGATATTAATGAAACTTACTTATGAAAGAATTACTAAATGAAACTTCCAAAAATTTTAATTTTTAAAGAGGTAAGGTATTTTTAAAGGTGTTCTTTATAGAGTTGTTCTAGTGAAAATATTAGCTGTTCCAGACTGCTTAGGTATAATAAGTATATATTTGTGATATGGAACTGAAAATAGAAAAACTATGGTCACAGCAATCAATTAGCCATTTTGGCAGCCCAACCTACTTTTGTTAGTTTAGTTTATTTATTAATTTATTACTTTGTTTTACAAAGTAAAATTTAAAATTTTTTAAAACTATTATTATATTAAAGGTTGGGTTTACTGATTCAACAAAACCTGTACAACCCGCCGAGATACAGGAGGTGTCTGAAAATCGTAAATTTTGAAACACGTATATCAAAAACGAAGAGGGCAATGAAAATTTGGTTTGCGCCATTGTAAGTTTCACAAAAAAGTAGCTCAGGTTCGCGAAAGCCGCAACTTTCTATCTTTCATAATAACTGAGATACCCTGCAAACCCATCGAAATTTGGNACATTAAAAACGGATTCAAAGCAACAGGAATATACGATCCATGCAAAGATGGTCCAAATCGGGAAGCTATTCCGGTTTCAGTTTTTAAACCTGAAGATTTAAAAAAATACAGGAAGAAATCACCTGCGCCGTCAGATACACAAGTTGAAGCCACTTTGTCCACATCTTCCGCACAAGACAGTGAGGTACCAGTGACGTCAACTGAGCAACAAATTAACATAGTTTCTACCTCACATCCACAAGTTCTATTAAATGAACAGCCGAGTACATCCAAGGCTTTTTTTAATGTACCAACAGAAACACAAAACCATGAAGATGAACAACCGAACACGTACACAAATGAACCAACAAATCTCAGGAATGATGAAAACTCAAAAGAGTTGGAAACACCGATACGAAAAAGTTTTGAAGACGTTCTTCTAGATTTATTCAAGAAAGACACAAAAGCAAACCCGGAACGAAAACGCAAGAGTCACCAGCCTAATTGTGAGATAATAACAACAGCGGGATATTTGCAGAAGAAGGAACAAGTCGAACTTGAGAAACAAGAAAATTTGAGGAAGAAGAAACAGAAACAGGTCGAAAGAGGAACTAGAAAAAAACAGAAGAATCTTAAGAAAAGGAAAACAAATTCTGAGAAGAAGAATGAAGAACATTCAAGTAATGAGGAAAGTAATTATTCTTTATGTGAAAGTGATGATAGCTTGGAGTTGTCCGACTCCGAGAAAGAAACCAACGCGGACAATTTGAGTCCTGATGATTTTGCTGTGTTTAAAGTTTTTGGAAGTGATAAGGTTTCTTTTCGATTGTATGTTGGAAGAATTCAAGAAGCTGATGACAATGGTTATCAAGTAAAATTTTTCAAAAGACGTGGCCACAATATGCAATTTACTGAAACAGAAGAAGAGTCGTATGTTCAACAAAGTGAACTTTGTAGAAAATTATCAGAGCCTCTAAAACACACCTCATCGCGCTACAATGATATGTTGCATTTTAGTACCTATTTGAAAGATTTAACGAATCTGTTAAATTAATATGTTAGCACTTACTGATTTGTTTTAAGGGGAAGCCAATCGTTCTGTTAAAAACTCAGAAAAAGCAATACTNGCTATGAAAATTTGGTTTGCGCCATTGTAAGTTTCACAAAAAAGTAGCTCAGGTTCGCGAAAGCCGCAACTTTCTATCTTTCATAATAACTGAGATACCCTGCAAACCCATCGAAATTTGTACACCCTGTACACTATTTTTTTTAAAACTAATAAATAGCTTTTCTTTTATAAATATATAATATGCCTTTTATTATAACTTTTTTACACGATTTTCTTTTGCACGGTTTTCTAAGGAACTTATCTACCGTGTAAAAAAAGAGTTGGGTGTATATTATCTATGAGACACGCGGAAATTATGTTGATAATGGGTGTATAATAATAATTGTATATATAAATAATTGTAATTAAAACTGAATTTGGTAGTCATCTTTTTTTATGTTAATATTCCATGGCGTTAAAAGGTTGTTATAAAAAAATCAAAGGGGTTGTGAATTTCATCCCCTTAGAGGGCGCTAGGGAAGTTTATTCGAATGTTTATAAACATACTAAAGAAACCGGACATAGAATTAATTATGACAATATTTCATTAATACATAAGTGTGATAAAAGTTACAGACTTGATCTTCTTGAAACTTTAGAAATTCTGAAACATAAATCTAAAAATGTAAATTTGCTTAATGATCAAATTCAAATACAATATAAACACCTTTTTATGTTTTTAAAAAACCTGGACTCGTGATTCATTGATTCCCGATTTTTGTCGTCATGATTTTCTTTTCTCTTCTTGTAAGTGCAGTTCTTTTTGAAATTTCTCCTCTTCGGAATTTCTTGACCGCGACCTCTCAGAGGAAGATTTTAATATATAACCTATTTTGTCAGACATGGTAGTATCGGCTGTAATGAATGTTAACTGTAGTGTATCGGTACTGTATGTATTATTTTTTTTGACTTGATGGGTGTAAAACAAATTTGTAATTGCACGAATAAATTCTATTCTATTCTATTCTACTCTTAAACAAAAAAACCGTGCCAGAACTTCTGTGGTTCAGTTCTCTTGCTCGAATATAATTCACTATACTTATTACGGTCTTCATCACGGCGTCTATTTCGGCAATGGAGATACGTGCTGCTAAGTTCTCTTGGTGAATGATACAGTGAAAGGATAAGAGAATTGTTAAATTGTATTTCTTTTTCAATAATAGGCCTTTTTCAATAGGCCCTATCATTGAAGGGCATCCATCCGTGCACACGCAAACCAATTTTTTTATATCAATTTTATTGTTCTCCAGAAAAGTACTAATAATATCGAGATGGTCAGTGCCTCTGGTTTGATTCGTCATAGGACCTAACGAAAACGGAACATTGTGAAATATCTGCATCTGTTGATGAAATATTGATGCTAGAATCAAAAGCCAAATTAAAATATTTACAATTTTTTATTTCTTCTATGACGCGATCAGAAATGTATTTTGAAATATCTTCAATGCGTCTAACGCAGGTAGAATCAGAGAGCTGCATCTTTTTTATTTGAGATATTATTTGATTTTTATTGCTAAACTTATCAAATAATATATTGGAAGCACTAAGAAAACATTCCTTCACAACCTCTGCATCGGTAAATGGTTTCATGTGTTTACCAAGTATATAACAAATTTCATACGATGCTCTTGTCACTGCTGTATCTTGTGATATTATCACTGAGATCATATTTTGTTGTTGTTGCAATGACTTTTTCAAAAAAGTCAACTTTTGCATCTTATTAAAGACCCGTGAGAAAAAGTATCATCGAATGATATGTGTTTCGTAGTAAAATGACGAACAATATTACTAGTACTACATTCCTAAAGGAATTAAAGTTAATATTAAAAGACTAAAAGTTTTAAAACAATTAATATATTATTTTAAATGAATTTATTTTGTATAATCTGAAAAAATATCTTTAATTGGAACTGTCGAAAAATAGCCACTAAAAACACTATCAACCACTGATCGAATTGTTTCTGCTAAAGCCGGCTTAATTTCATCAGCAATAACAGTCCAATTTTCATCAATAAACTGATTCATTCGATCGCCCAGCTCTTTATTACCATTAAATAAATTTTCGAAATGAAAATATCCCCTTTTTAACACATAATCCACCTTTGACGATTTTATTTTATAATAATCCGCGTTCTTTTTGGTTATAACATCCATGGTGATTTCATAAACATATTCACCACCATCTACAAATCAATTAATTACACATTTATTTTTTGATGCATAAATTATTTCTTACGTAATGTAGCTTCAACATTTCCTTCTCCATTTAAAGGTAAAACCAAAATTTGCCCAGTCATATTATAAAGCCCTTCCAAAGATAAATCATCGATGCTTCCTTTAAAATACAAACCCGGTTTAGATTTGTCAAATTTAATTTCGTTTAATACCAAATGATCCAAATTATTAACCGTGACATCGGTTAATACGATTTTTAAATGTTTTCCTGAATCCAAAACTATTTTTGGTGATTTGAAAGGTTTTAAATCGATTATTTTGTATTTTGCGTCACCTTTTACTAAAGATGAAATTGCTTTGTTTCCGTTTATTTTAATACAATCATTTAAATTTGGATCAGAAAAACTGCATTGATTAAGGTAAGAAGCTAAAAATTAAATATTTAAATTAGAATTAAAATTAGAATATATGTAATAACTTACGCAATTTTAATGAATTAACTAAAAAAGTTAATTGTACCACAAGAAAAACTGTTTTAAACATCATGACTCTTCAATGGCTAAATTCGAACTAACACGGAAATCATTCGGTGGTAATCTTTTTATACGTAAAGCTTTAAAGTTTTTTTTTAATTCACTCAATATTTATCGTTTTCATTAATGATAATTATCAGAAGTGGATTTTTTAGTCTCGATGCGTCAGAACGAACCTGTTAAGCGCAAGACAACCTATTAGCTATTTTATTTCTAAACTTTTTTTAAATTTTACCCAATGATCGATGGAATCAAAATATAATAATAATTGTTTTAATAATTTTTTTTGATCAATTACCTATGTAATTGGAGAAAAAACAATTTATTTCACTTTTTTCAATTTTATTAGATTTTAAGTGTTGAAAACAGAAAATTACATAAGCACCACAAGTTCACCTTTAAATGATATTTTTTAATCGCACACACGTTTGAACTAATTAGTGAGTGTCCGTTCGTGTTAAACAGAACAAGTTCAATGTCAAGGGAACACAAAGAACTCGATTATCTTTGCCAATGTCAATTATTTTAAGATTCAATTTAACTTTAAGTAAGTTTTAAACAACACGGTTTTAGACTTAGTAAGATCAATTGGAACCGTTTAAATTTACATTTACAACTTTTTCTTTCTAAAATAATTTGCATCTTTTTTTGTGTTAATTAACAGAAATTTTGAAACCTCGAAATAAATTTTAACTTATATGTGAAAATGTTAAACTTTATCGAAATGATTTGTTATGAGTAAAATTAAAAATACGTCCGATGCGATCTAATTTATACATATTTTAAATGTGAATTCAGCGTTTCAAAATTTTGATTAATTATCTTTTTCTGCATTGAGAGATTTGTCTGTATACAGGGAATTTCATAAAACTCGCAATATATGAATACAGGAACCATAATTACGAAACTACTATGCACTTGCAGTGTTCCAATGTTCCAGTGTTCAATTGGGTAATTTTGCAAAGGAAAAGTTTTGCTTGGAAAAAGGTGACGTCCTTAGTCCTAAGGTGTTATCCGAATGTTCTAGGTCTAGTGTTAGTTCTACTTTTCGTTCAATAAAAATATACCACAATCTAACGCTGAATAACAATTAAAACTAGAACTAACACTAGACCAACAAATAGAAACATTCGGGTTTAGCCGCACGTCTCTTAAGACGGCTAAACCCGAATGATTCTAGTTCTAGGACTTGTGTTAGTTATATAGTTAGTAATAGTGCTAGTGTAAAACTAGAACCAAATGTAAAGGCTAATGTAGGCGCCAAACCAACCTTTGTTACCAGAAATGGAGCAGAGGTACTTGACATTACGTTCAGCTCAATTATATTAAGCTCTAAGATAACCTCCTGGAGGGTATCCTCTGAACCGTCGTGTTTAGATCATAGACATATTCAATTTAAAATTGATCTAGGGATGAAATCGGACTGTACGTACCGTAATCCCCGTAGCACTAATTGGGATCTGTTTAAGAGTTGCCTTGCAGATAACCTAACTATCAGGTTGAAATAGCCACGGAGCAGATCTCTGTGACAATTCGCTCTGCATATCACAGTAGCAGTCCACTGAAGGTGAAAAGTAGTAATCGGGGCACACCCTGGTGGAACGAATCTCTTAGCTCCGAAAGACAAGAGGTCCGAAAGCTTTTCAACCGGGCCAAGACATTAGGTGAATGGGAGAAATATAAACAGGCTCTAACGAATTACACCAAAAACATACGTAAGGCAAAAAGAGAGTCTTGGAGGAGGTTCTGTGAGGGAGTGAAAGACACACCCAGCAGTGCAAGAATTCACAAGATTCTCGCTAGNTAGGTCTAGTGTTAGTTCTACTTTTCGTTCAATAAAAATATACCACAATCTAACGCTGAATAATCATTAAAACTAGAACTAACACTAGACCAACAAATAGAAACATTCGGGTTTAGCCGCACGTCTCTTAAGACGGCTAAACCCGAATGATTCTAGTTCTAGGTCTTGTGTTAGTTATATAGTTAGTAATAGTGCTAGTGTAAAACTAGAACCAAATGTAAAGGCTAATGTAGGCGCCAAACCAACCTATGTTACCAGAAATAGAGCAGAGGTACTTGACATTACGTTCAGCTCAATTATATTAAGCTCTAAGATAGCTACGGAGATTACGGTACGTAGCACTAATTAGGATCTGTTTAAGAGTTGCCTTGCAGATAACCTAACTAGTGTTATCGCAACCGTTAGGAACTGTGATCAGGTTGAAATAGCCACGGAGCAGATCTCTGTGGCAATTCGCTCTGCATATCACAGTAGCAGTCCACTGAAGGTGAAAAGTAGTAATCGGGGCATACCCTGGTGGAACGAATCTCTTAGCTCCGAAAGACAAGAGGTCCGAAAGCTTTTCAACCGGGCTAAGACATTAGGTGAATGGGAGAATATAACATTTTCAATCTCCATATCGTCCACAAGACAGAAATCAAATTCTATACATTCGATTAACAAGCATGTTGTTGCAGGACAACCGGGGAAGACTGTAAATGTAGAAAAAGGTGTTTTCAAAGGATTGATGATGAAAATTGGCAAAGAATTTTGCAGAAATTAAATGAATTGGGTGAACGATCCGTTCAAAATCATTACTTAGCTGAACTTATAACTTTTACGGCTCTTGTCAGATCACGACTGCCAGATCGAAGTGGTACCAGAATAGCTAAGTCTGCTTCTAATAAATATAAGGTAAAGCCCATCTTTTTAAAACATTATCATTAATTTTTAGATTCGTCTTAGCCAAAATGTTTTTGAAGTTTGTAAAAAGGCTTTCTGTTTCCTTCATGGTGTGTCTTCAAAACGAGTAGAAACCATTGAATCATATTTAGCAAAGCCTTCTACTATAACTACCCCTGGAGATATGAGAGGTTAACATTCAAATAGACCCAACGCCATTCCAAATGAAATCGTTGAATCTATTAATACACATAAGAGAGTTTCCAAAGCGAATGTCTCATTATAATCTAGTTTTAAAGCAAATTTTGCAAACTATCACTTTGGTCATGCACTTGTCAGGTTTGCGATACTTTGGAGAATAAGAAAAAGTCAGTTATTACAGACGCAGAATTGAATGAAGTAGACAAACAGCGCACATTACATCTAAGTAAAACAAAGACTTTTTTGACAATCTCTCGCGAGAAACATCTATTGCTGGTGAAGATCCACGAGTGGACACTCCTTGCTTTGACTCCACTAAGTACTGAGGACCAAGTATGTGACTCGCCATTCTTCCTAAAAAAACTAAAATATGATAATGTCATGACCCTTGTCCGAAAGTATGTCCCTGACATCTGTATGGAGTATTCGAGAAGCCTAAAATGCATTGTAAAGCAATCCAGTGAAGAAACTGATTTGACAGATACAGAACAAACAAGCGACTTAAATTTCGATTGAGTTCAAACATACTTATTTAGGAGATTTTTCTTATTTTTATAAATAGTTTATATTGTTTTACAATAAATAAAGCTTCTTTTTCAATTAATATAAGTAGTTTTAGTTACATATTCATGAAATGACGAAGTTTGGGGGCAAGAAAGAGATAAATCTTATACACAAGGGCTTAGTGAGTGCTGACAAAAAGTTGAGACATTTTAGAAAAGGTAAAAAGAAAACCATAAGTGAGGACCTACCTGTTTCTTGCAGCAAGGTCTTCAATTGCAGACTATGAATGATAACTCAAATTATAGGCTAGCAAGCATAGCTATATAGATCAAGGGTGATGAGAGTGAAGTTGTTGGAGGGGATGAATAGCGTATGGAGAGGGGGTGGGTTTCCGGAGGCGTGGAAAGTGAGGGTAATTTGCCCAGTATATAAAAAGGGTAATAAGGGAAGGGTAGAGAGCTACAGAGGAATTAACCTACTAGACTCAGCATACAAGGTATACACGAAGATACTGCTGGGAAGACTGGAGGAGGAGATGGAGTTGGGGGGAATTTTGGCTGATGGGCAGGCAGGCTTTCGGAAGGGAAGGGGAGCAATCGACAACGTGTACGTGTTGAAGCATTTGGCAGATAGAGAGCTGGATAAGAAGGGAGGGAAATTGTACGCCCTGTTTATAGATTTGAAGGCGGCTTTTGATAAGGTGGATAGGGGAAAGTTGTGGGAGGAGATGGGGAGGAGGGGGATCACGGAACACCTAATTGCGAGAGTGAAGGAAATATACATGGAGACTATGGCTAGGATAAAAGTGGGAGATAAGCTGAGCGACGTGTTCTGGACGACGAAGGGACTGAGGCAGGGATGTCCGCTGAGCCCAAGTCTGTTTGCACTGTATACGGCGGACCTGGAGGATAGATTGGGGAAGGGGCAAATGGGAGGGTTGGTGGTGGGAGGTAGAAAGGTGCATATGTTAGCATACGCGGATGACATCGTGGTCATGGCGAGAGAAGCGGCGGAGATGAAAGATATGATAAAGACATTGGAAAGATATTTTAGGGGGAAGGGGCTGGAAGTGAATGTGGGGAAGACAAGGATGATGAAGTTTTGTAAGGGTGGGAGAAAAAGAACAGAAAACTGGAGATGGGAGGGAAAAGAGATCGAGGAGGTTAGGGAGTATACTTACTTGGGGTATGTGTTCAGGGAGGACAACAGGGAGGGGTCGCATGTGATAGCTATGGCAAAAAAGGCGAATAAGGTGATGGGACAAGTATGGGGTTGGGGGAAGAGAGTCTTTGGAAGGAATGTGGCAGCGAGGAAGATTATGTTTGAAGGTCTGGTTAGCAGTGTGATGATGTATGGAGCAGAGGTATGGGGATGGAGAGAGCAGGCAATGCTGGAGGACGTGCAAGCTAGATACTGGAGATGGGTGCTTGGGGTGGCGAGAGAAACACCGGGGTATATAGTGAGGGAAGAGGTAAAGGTGGATAAGGTCAGAGTGGAGGCGGGCAGGAGAGCAGTGAAATATGAAGAAAGAATAGAAGGGAGGCCAAACTGCGGGATCTTGGGGGAGTGTTGGAGGGAAATTAGAGAGGGAAAGATCAGATATGGGAAAGGAGACAGAGACAACTATTATAGACGAGCGGGCTACTCGGTAACTGAGATAAATAGTAGACGAAGGGTGGGTAGGGAGATGTGGAGGGAGTTGAGAGATAGGGACCGAGATGTGCAGAGACAGGAAAGAAGGACACAAATAAAAGAGGGGAGGTATAACGAAAGGTACAGGGACATAATTACGGAGGGGCTGCCTAGATACTTGTTATTGGAAGGAGATGAGGAAGGGAAGAAGTTGGTGGCTAGGTTCCGTTGTGGAAACGAGGAGAGAGCTAACAGATACTGGATGGCCGATGAGGAGAGGTGGTGTAGGCTATGCAGGGAGGAATGGGAAACGTTGGAACATATGTTGAATGGGTGCAGTGAGTTGAGGGAGGAGGAGTTGGACCGAGGGCAGATCTTAGGAGAGGGGGGAGAGGGGAAACGATGGATGAGAATGGTTGTGGGGGTAAGGAGACAAAGGGAAGGATGAGGGGATGATTGGGCCGAGGAGCCGAGGGTATGGAAATGGAGGAAGAGGGTAGAGGGTGAAAATAATATACTAATAATATATATATATTAGAATGTATTAAGGGGATAAAAATTGTAAATATTAAAAACAATAAAAAAAATGCATAGCTATAGATTGCATAAATAGTTGCAAAAGCTGCAGCCTATAATATGCAAAATAATTTTTGTAAATTGTATACTATATCTGCACCCTGCAAGTCGCAGTTACTCACTGAATACCAGAAATCATAACCGCAGATTGAAGACTACATCTTACAGCTGTAAGTAGCAAGTTGGAAATTGTTGCTAAAGACATCAAACCAGTTGCAAAAAAAGTACTGCAGAATATAGTTGCGGACAGAATATTCCAAACCATAACTTTTCATAAATACCATACTTTTTCTTTATATACAGCACGTAACTCAAAATATAACTATTCAAATATTGTAAGTTATTACAATAATTTTCCCTAATCATTTAATAATAATTAAAACAGAATTTATATTTAATTAACGATAATAACGTTTCAACTTATTTATACATACATCAATTTTTTTAAAAAGCTTGTTGTTTAAGTAATTTTTAAAAAATAACCGGAAAATGGGAACTAGTGAAATAAAAAATAACGATTATTAGAGAACCTTGAAAGGGGAAAACTATTAAAAATAATAATGACTAAATAATTTGTAGACTCGTTAAAAATTGCCATTTAAAAATTTCTTAATACAATCATTTTTAATCTTCATAATAATAAGTAATAGTTATAGTTGCAATGGTTTTACGAAGGAAAACCGGTCTGATTGACAATTTTATATAAATACGGAGTATTAGTAAAAGTTCGGCGAAGTCAGACAAAAACATTTCAACAAGAACCATCAACCACAAAAACAATCATTAAGAAAAAATGAAAGTCTTGTTGAGTTTTGTTTTTGGGGCAACGTTATGTAACGTTTATGGCTTAACACTACGTAAGAAAAAAAATTAAATTTCATTTATAAAATAATATTTATAATTTTATAGCGTCTTATATGAAACAATGCAGCATATCAGATCCAAACGTAAACGAATGTTTCAAAACTAGTGGCAACAACGCTTTGGAATCAGTATTAAAAGGAGATCGAAAATACAAAATCATCAAAATGAACCCTTTGGAACTACCAAAGGTTGATTTAAACTCCGGGGGAACCTTTACGATGTCATTAAAAGATGCAGTTATTAAAAATTTGAAATCAACCAAAATCTTAAACGCAAAGTGAATTAATTTAAAAATTAAAATTGAAGAATGACTCATTTTTAATTTTCTTTTAGTATTCAAGCTAATCACTGGGAATTTGAGGTGTCCATAGATCCGATGATCATCGAATCACAATACGAAATAAACGGCAGGATTTTGATTTTACCCATAACAGGAAATGGTCCGTCCAAAATCACATTGGAAAAGGGTATCTATTCGTACGTGGTCGATTTAAAAACGATCGAAAAGAAAGGCGTCGAATATTTGGCCATCGACAAATCGAATTTGGAAGCGAAATTGGGACACGTTCGATTCCATTTCGAAAATTTATTCAATGGGGATAAAAGATTAGGTGAGATTTTGAAAAAAAAATCATTTTATTTATAATATAGAAAAATATCGATATAACGGTCTTGATTTATAGATAAACTCGGGGTATTCCTAGAGTTGTCTATACGATGTATAAATCAAAGATGATAGTTCTAGTTTTAATTCTTAATCAGCTACTAGAAACATTCGGGATCAGTGATAGTGCAACACTAGAACTAACACTAAACTTAGAACTAGAATCATTCTGGTTTAGCCACAAGTCTCTCAAGACGGCTAAACTCGAATGATTCTAGTTCTATGTTTAGTGGTAGTTCTAGTGACAGTGTTAATGCAAAACGAGAACTAGAACTAGAAACATTATGGTGTAGCCGCACGTCTCTCAAGACGGCTAAACCCGAATGATTCTAGATCTAAGATCTAGTGTTAGTTCTAGTGACAGTGTTAGTGCAAAATTAGATCTAATACCATTTTTATTAAACTAAAAGTAGAACTAACACTAAATCTAGATCTTGAAACATTCAGGTTTAGCCGTCTTGAGTGAAGCGCGGTTAAACCCGAATGTTTCTAGTTCTAGGTTTAGTGTTAGTACTAATGCTAGTGTTAGTTCTAGCTGTAGTTGTTGTTCAGCGCCAGATTTTTGTATATTTTTCATTAAACTAAAACTAGAACTAACACTAGACCTAGAACTAGAAAGTTTAAACCCGAATGTTTCTAATTCTAGGTCTAGTGTTAGTTCTAATTTTACAGTAGCACTATCACTAGAAGTAACACAAGACCTAGAACTAGAATCATTCGGGTTTAGCCGCCTTGAAAGACGTGCGGCTAAATCCGAATGTTTCTACTTCTCAGTCTAGTGTTAGTTCTAATTTTGCACTAGCACTATCACTAGAACTAACACAAGACCTAGAATTAGAATCATTCAGGTTTAGCCGTCTTGAAAGACGTGCGGCTAAATCCAAATGTTTCTACTTCTCGGTCTAGTGCTAGTTCTAGTTTTACACTAGCCCTATTACTATGTAGAACTAACACTATACCTAGAACTAGAATCATTTGGGTTTAGCCACACGTCTCTAAAGACGGCTAAACCCAAATGATTCTAGTTCTAGGTATAGTGTTAGTTC